GCCACCTGAGCCAGCCAAGGGGTCTAAACTGATGTCCAGTGCAGTAGTGATCTCAAGTCATTGAACGGGAACAGGAAGGCAAATGTAATGTGTTTTAGGGGAAGAAAAGGGAAAACGCAGGTATTTTCACAATTTGTTGCCATTTTTGTAGTCCTGTACCCAAGATGTACAAATACAGCTCCAACACTTTCACCTTCGTTCCTGATAAATACATCCTTTTTCAGTTGTACAGCTGAGGCTGTCTGATGAGGGTGGCACGATGAAACACGGTGACCGTAATTAAGTGTACACACTGTCACTGTGCAGGCAGCAGAGCAGGGTGCTCAGATGGAGGGACCCACAGGCTGGCCACCGTCCAGTCTAAAAGTCCCTTTAGCACAAAAAACATTTTATAGCATTTTTGGTGACTTTCTTGAAACATAAATAAATAAGTGGAGCACAGGCAGGTAAGACAACTCTTTTCTGAGCTTTCTCTTTGTTTGGCCTGAGTAATTAGGGGTGATTATTTTTATTTTCATTTTTAGAGTTGCCTCTCCTTGGTTTTAGCACAAAATAGAACTTACTACCCAATGGCCCTTACATATGTAAAATTTCTAGTATGTATGATTTGCTGATTTACTCTTAATCTTTGTCATAAAAGTATTGTGAAGACATACTTTAACCTTTAACCTTCTTCATCCTTGATTATTTTTCTTCCTGTGTACTCAGGTTAGTTGGAGGTTTGAGAAAACGCCTGTGGTCATAGGGTCAGGTGGAGTTTAGAGGGAAGTAACCAATGTGTAGTAAAGGAATGGTATGTTTGAGGCTCATCACAGAAAGGATATCACTGACGATAAGGAAAAGATAAGAAAGGGAGGCATCTCTGATTTTTTTTGGAGAAGCAGAACTTGACTTGGCACATTATAATTTATTGTAATATCCTAAAAATATTATTTCAGAAACTGTGTAATATGTTCATCCTTTCATGTTGTTTGGTTGTTTTTTTTTTTCTTTAACTTGAAAATCTTTATAAAAAAGCCCCTGTAGGATTTCAGTTGTGAATGGGTGTTGGTGTTTTTCTGTACTGAGCTTCCTTTTCTGGAACTCTTTCTTCCCAAGTTTTCCACTACAAGCAGAAAACTCCTTCCTTTCAAACTACCTGTTTTGCTTGGATCAGATAAACCTAGAAACTGTCGCTACAGTTGCAATATCCAGGTTGGTAATTGCTCAGGGAAATGAGTCGTCCAGGGTGTTCGCCTCTAGGCTCCACAAGTCACTATTGCCACCAGCGGCAGCGGATTCAAAATTATAAACTCCTTGGGGAGTAGGTTGCAATCCATGATAAACACTGCAGATGAGCAAAGGGTAAATGATTAGCGCTGTCTAGCTGGGATGCTTCAGCCCTGTCTTTTCCAAAGCCAAAGGAGCAACTAGAGGAACACAGTAAGACATAACTTGTGTATTTATGCTAATGCTTCGTTTTGTTTATTTCTATGGATTTGCTTTACAGGGGTTAATTTCCCATTTTATTGCAGGGGGTGTTAGGTTACATGATGATTTTGTCTGTGTAATTATAACCTGTAAATGGCTGGACCGCTTTCCATTCTAGGAGTGATTCTCTTAATGACAGTTTTTATTGTTTTTCTAATATACAGGTATTGTTGCATTTGTAGTTCCTCCATTATCAGTTTTCTATCCTAATCTCTTACCTATATGAACTATAGTGAACACAGTATCTAGACATGCCATCAGAATGGCACATCAATATTAAAATGTTAATAATATTTTAGACATTTTCTACTGATAGGAATAGCTAGGACTCTTTTTCTTTCTCTTCTCTATCTTCTTTTCTGTTTGTTTTTTTCTTTCTCTTCTCTGTCTTCCTTCTTTTTTCTTTTGTTTTTTTTCTTTCTCTGACTAACTTTTCTCAACAGAAATTATCATAGTTAGGAATTTGCAGAAAGCCAATTTAGTACCAGAACCTCAGGTCAGACTTAAATTTCAGACACCTTCAGGAGGGCATATGTCAGATTTGAGAATATAATGCCCCCAAGTGTTGCCTTTATCCCAGATCTTGATAGTGTCAGTACGGGTTATTGTAAGATAACATTCATGTAATTAAGGAGACCCATTGCCTTTTAGTGCTGAGTAGGCATAAATGAGCCTGGGTCTTGTCAGAAGAAACTTGGGGAAAGAATATAATCTTGCCCCATTCCTATCATTTTCTGTAAACATCCAGAGCTGGCCACAGGATACTGAACTTGATGTGTCTCTGGACTGGTCTACTCCTGCTTTATGCTTTTATGAATCCAGTACAAACAAGGGGGTAATAGAGAGCATAGAGCACATTTGTAATGTGCTGCTCGCTCTGAAGCAGGTGCTCTTGGGGTCCAATGGAACATTTCTTTCAGTGATCGAGTCAGAAATCCCATTCCTAAAGTGGCAGATTCTGGATTGCTAACTTTGCCTCTTGAGAGGCAAATGCACTCTCTTGTGCTGCCTGATGTAGAAAAAGGTGGCCTATGTTACTCTTACTTATATTTTACTATAATTGCCAAGGAACGAAGCTTCACACTAACACCAGCAATTGAGAAGCAAATCCCTTCAATGGACATCAAGGGAAGGTTCTTATAAATAATGTAGCTTTTTCTTCCTTAGATACTTCTTGGGGTTTTTTTTTGATGAATAGTCACAAAAAAAAATCTTTATTGCTGCACAAGAAGCACTCTGAGATGAGGCTTAAGGACAAATTTCTTCCCACCCACTTAGGAGGTTTCCTAAAAGGGACCTGAAATGTCCAGCTGCAAGGCCAGGTGAGCTTTCTGAGCAGGCTGATGCCAGACAGATAGGGCAAGTGCTGTGGTCTTCAGGCTTCTGCAAGAACCACCAAGGACAATATAGCTGTTACAGATACACACACACTCTTCAGCCTTTTATGACTATTTGTTATAGGACATGGTGGACCAAATTCAGACCTGGTAGAAGAAAATGTGACATTCGTGAAGCTAATGGAGTTTCACCACATTTTATTGTCCCTGAATATGATGAATCACAATCCCAGCATACTAAATCTGTAAGAATTTATTACCTCCTTGTAGGCCCTTTAAGATCTTCTATTTTGTCCGAAGCCAGATATTTTTCTAGCTGTTTCACTTCTGTGTCTTTATCAGTGAGCTCTTAACACACTATTTAACAACATCTCTATTAATGTGATCTGATCCCTGGCTCAAGTGTGTTTAAGTGAATGTATTTTGATTTTATACCTGCCAATTTTACTCTGTATCCCCACAACTCAAGGTTGCTGACATAGACAAGCAGTTTCGCACTCTTTACACCATCCTGATGGATCTCTAAGGACCCTCAGGACAGCCTTCCTTATTTCAGCAACAACCCCCTTTCTCATTTACCCAGGATCCTCAGACCAGGCTGTTGACTTTTAGTGTAGTGACGGCTTCACAGCTCCAAACCAATTCTCATCTGCCATATTGCCCACATGCGCCATGGCCGGAGTGAGCCGGTCTGGGGAACAGAAGAAATGCTGCTCAGATTTGTTAGATCTCCATATGTTCCCTCTCAAGACATTTCTCTGTTTCAATGACAAAGCTGGAGCAGTTTTGTAACCACTCAGGATGTCTGCCTAATTCAAGAAGAAGAAAAGAGACTTTGCATTTTGAAAATGCCAGGGTAGCAAGGGTAATTGAAACTGAAGAATCCTATAATACTTCTATCTGAATTAAAGCTCAACTGTGTGATAAGAGCAGATTTCAGTGGGTGCATCAAGACCTGACAATCCCATTAGTGTAAAAAAATGAGAAAAAGGGGAAAAAAAGAAAAACTCAGTACCGATAGAAAAATCAAATTGACAGTGGAAAAGGAAAGCAAATATTTTATGGTGCTACATCATAACTTATAAATACTGATAAATAAAGAACAATGGTAAAAATGTGTGATGCTGTTTTTCTCTGTGAAAAAAGTTGCCTTTCTATGTAGACCATAACTATATTCCCAGTGTGATGTCTGACCCATGGATATTTACTTCTCTTTGTGCAGCTCTGTTTAGGAAAGGAGAATATTTTCTTGGATCTTCAGAGCAGCAAGCTGCCCTATAGCTTTAAATGGAAAGTTTAAAATAAAAAAATCTTTTTCAGCTCAAGTGAACTGGGTCAGTCAGAACTTAGTAACTTCCTAAGTCAGAAGTTGCCAGAAACGTTGGAAGCTGCCTGGGACCATCTGACATACTCCTTTTCCCTCTCTTCTCCACTACTTATTGTCTGCAAAGGGGATATGAGAGCAAAGAAAGAGATCCCAAAGTACTACATGGAAGTATGGGTCACCAGGCATCACCGAAGATTTGAACTTAAATTATTTCCTGGGCAAAATCCCACTGACTTCACAGGAAGCATTTGAACTTGAGGAAACATTTAAATTTCACTATGATTCTAAAACAGAGAAAGAAAATGCTTCAGTGATATAGTTGGTCGCTGCTTAGAATTATAGTGTTCTCTGACTCACATGAGGAAGTTTTAGGAAATTTGAGCATGTGGAATGTATCCAGAATGTTTCTTTTTTGATCTCAGAAACTGCTAATCAAAATTAAAATGGTATAATTTCACTATGTCTGACTCATTCTTCACCTGCAGGGAGAAATGCTAAGATAATATTCAAAGAAAATCTTCATTGTGTAAATCCAACATCTCATTCTTTAAAGGTGAATCGATGTTTAATGCTTGACTTTCATTTTTAATGTAGTAATCTTGAACACTGTGACTTGTCCAAGGACTTTAGCCAAAAACCTCTGGAACCTGTTTTGAATGTAGTTGAGGAAATCGTGTACTTTGCTAACAAGCAGCATTTAAGATGCTTAAATTTTCCTTTGGACTTATTCTTTATTGCAATGCAAGTAGATTGCACAGATTATCGTTCTGGGAAAAAAACAATTAGTGAAGAGTCCCAGAGATCAGTCATCTTGAGAACTGAATGCATTGAGCAAGGAGGTCATTTGAACTGGTTTTGTTTTTCAGACTTTGCAAATGGATGTAAACAAGCTGAATATCACATTGCTTCGGATATTTCGCCAAGGAGTGGCAGCAGCACTGGGACTGTTACCTCAGCAAGTTCATATCAACAGGCTCATTGTAAGTACCAAAGGGCTCTGTATAATAAAATGTACCTGGTTGTTTTGAATTCTCTTAAATTTATTTTCCTGTCATGATGGAAAAGTGCAATAAAATAGGACAGAAAAATACTTTTTTCCAATATTTTTTTTACTGCACTACAGAAAAATAGATCTCTATTACAAAATGATTGAAATTTTCTTTTGAAAGGAAACTATTCTCAGTTGCAGTGTAGACAAAAAATAAGTCAGATAAATCTCTTTTGTGTCCTATTCATAAGCAAATTGCTTATCCCTTAGTTTTCATTCCAATGCAGTTCTACATGACATTCATTAAGAAACACTTATTCATGTTTTGTTTCTCAAAGGTTGAATATTGCTCAAAAAATACATGTGATTCTACCTTTCAAGGGCATCTTCACAATTTATCTTCAGATATCTTTACTATCTTCCATTAGTAAATTAAATGTCTTCTCACAATATTAATATTCATGTTTTGCTATTCAGCTGGAACAATCTGTGCTGATAAATGATCTTGTAGACTTTGGTATCATATTTGCAAAAGATGACGACAAGTCTGCTTCTAGCGACAAAGACTTTTTAAAAACAATTTTCATCGTAAGGTTTTCTGTGTATGGTTAAGAGCATACGTTCTTAACACTGTTGTGTTTGTATGACAGTTTTGCCATGAAGCAAAAAACCCCATCCTGTGTGTATTGCTAGCATTCAATTTGCCTTGCAGAGGGAAGAAGAGTTATTTTATTTTATTCTAAATGCAGGTTGAATATTAGGGAAGAAAACTGACAGGTTCAGCATAAAAGTATTTCCTGCTTTGATAGCTTGATAGGATTGTACACATCAAAAAGGATTATAAAACTCCTTCAAATAATGTCTCTGTGAGAAAGGATCACACCAGAAGTACAGAGGAAAAGATCAATAGGAATGCAATGCAGCCCTTTTCATGTTCACCAGGGATGTCACTCAGTTGTGACAAGTGGCGCGAAATCTCCTTTGTCCCCTGCATGAACCAGAACGAAAGGTAGAAAGCACGATTAAATGAGAAATGTTCCAGAGTTTGGGATGTGTATTTCAACATACTAAGTCACTTAGTAGCTTTCTTACTATGCTCTGTGGAAATTATGTAACTAAGGAGAAATACTTTGTTTATTTTCCTACTGGCTCCACAGCTTTTCCCTTTCTCCTCTCCTTTGTGATCTAAGGTAAGAGGTGATGTCATTTTGCACCTGAACATAGCTCACAATACAGGAAATACTATTAATTAATTAGTCTTCTCAACATCTGTGAAAGTCCACTATGAGTTAATATTTTAGTCATACAAGAAAGAAAGCAAACTTTTGCCCTATTTGCTCTAAAAATCATACGCAGTCAAAATTCACAAGGAAGAAAAATATTTCCTGGAGGATATTATTCCCACTTGGCATCCTTCTAACATGAGACAGTCCCTCTCATGCAGGGTGCTTGCAAGCACGCAGGGCACATCAAAATTCATCTTATGTCACTTCAGCCTAGTCTAAGCTACTCGTCCAGGCTCCCTGGGAAAGGAATATAGAGGAGGGCAACTGGAGGAGGAGAGGCATAGAGATCCCGATTAGTTTAGGATGGATTAAATCATTCTCTAGAGATGCCAGTCTCTTTCCACTGACTTTGGAGGTAGTTTAGATGACTGAAGTGAGGTAAACTGACTCCCTCCCAAGTGAGCAGCTCTCAGAAGTGATCAGGAGCCTAGCAGCCAGGATGTGGTTAGGCACAGGGAGAGCAGAGGGCCTGCTAGCCTCTTACATGTTACGACACAAAGTGTGCCATGAAATATTAATTGGGCATTTCCAGTGTCTCCTTAACCTTTACAGTAAACCCTCCTACCATAAAGGCCTTTTAATGGGCAGAGAAAGTCCCTAGCAGATGTGACATGAAACACTGGGAATGCTGTGTCCCCACCAAGCCTTGCCTTGCGACTGCCACTTACACCCAGAACCAGCCACCTACCCATGTCAGAGACCAAGTAGGACCTCAGCCTCAAATCAGCTTCTTCAGCTTGACAAAAGTCTCTGCCTTGAACTGATACTCCTGACAACTGACATTGTCCTGTAGGTCTGTTCTCACTCCTTATAACCCTGCTGATGTGAGTAGTCCCACTGAAAAATGCCCAGTCCCACCAGTAGCCATTGTCCTTTGCAGTCTTATTGAGCAGGTGGATCAGTGGCACGTGTGAGAGCACAGAGGGCAGATTTAAGGTAAAGACGTTTGAAAGCATCCCTTTCTGTGCAGCTCTACTTCTGAATGCAAAACTAGATACCTAGCAAAAGATGTCTCTTTTTTCAATTCAGGAAAGATTACGATGCACATGGAAAGTGAGGGAAAGGAGGCAGGGGAAATCAGTTATCCCAGTTTGAACTGCTCTCTCCCATCCCATAATGATAAATAGCAAATAACCAAACCGGTGAGGTTCTTGCCTGTGCAGGCAGCAATGCAGGTAGTCGATCCATGCTTACCTTGCATGTGTGGGACTCTACATCACAGCCTCAGCTGAGTTGGCCATAGCCCTGGGGAACCCAGGTTCCCGCACCCTGTTTGGACATCAGTGCTGTCTGGAGGACTGGTCTCAGGCGCTGTTCTAGTCTATCACAACCAGAGGAACCCTCTGGCAGCCTCTCCCTTCGCTCCCTTGCGACAGAGTGAGCATCATTGACATCTCTAATGCAGCACCCCTTGGGCTACCAGGACTGCATCAATGACACTAGGGCAGGAATTAATAGAGGGGAGAGTAGGCATTCTCAACTTACGCATTAAATGTAAACGAAACTTTTCTGGTTTTCATTTTGTTGTGCCATTTTAAGGAGTTGCACTGCAGTCAACTAAAAGGACTTTGTACTTCGTTGTGGTATGTGTCTTCTGTGCTGACATGGGATACGAAAGCAGTGCCAAAATACCACAGCATTATACTAAGCATTCCTGTTTAAGGACCACCTTCTAAACCAGGGCTGCATTTCAGCTCAGATCAGATGAACTGTCTGATAAAATCCCTGCTGGCACTTTGCCCTTGACCCCATTCCGTGGCTCCTCCCCTCACCATATCACATTGACCTGTCTTGTTTAATGGTACTAGACTCAGGAAGAGGGTACCTTGTTAATAGTGAACGAGACAAAACACACATGCCCACGCATGGTATTTGCGTTTTCTTGCACAGTCAGCTGGGATTTAAGGAGTCAGAGAACAGGTATACTCTCCACGCGAAGCAGGTTGCAGCCTTTATATTCCACACTCTTGGTTTTGGATTTATAGTTACAATCTGTAGACAGCAGAGATTATCTAATCTGAGATCCTTGCTATGATTCTGCATTTTTTTTATTTTCCTAGGGGAAGAAGAACTGTGTGGAGCTGTTTGTGTCCCCACTGAACAGAAAGCCAGGAATTTCTGAAGCGCTTCCATCTGAAGAAGTGCTGCGTTCCCTTAATATCAACATTTTGCATCAGAGTTTATCCCAGTTTGGAATAACAGAGGTCTCCCCTGAGGTTGGTTATCAATTTTCTAACCTGTAGTTTGTTACAGATTAGGCAGTTATACATCCTTCGTAGTTTTCAGGCTGAAGTTCTCATGCATGAGGCAGGAAACGTTTATACAGCTATCCCTTTTAAATAATGGTGCTCCATTAGGCTATTTAAGCATTAATACCCAGGTCTTCCTCACACAGCTGGGGTACCATTGAAATCAGATTTTAGATCTTAAGCATGCATCCGTTGCCTTAAAGGAAATGGGCCCAAGAACTTTTGGTCTATTAACGTGGGTCAGCAGGTATAACAATTTCAGTAGACAGATAAATGAAATGCAAAGGTCAGGTGTAAGGTGTAACTTGTGTCTGACATGATTTTGAAAAACTGGATTTCTACGTTGTACCCATGCTTCTTCCTATTCTCAGGAGAAGTGAGAGATTTATTTTATTTACCTGCTCCAAAAAGAGGGCAAAAATAAAACTTGTAGCTATTATTTGTATGACTACATCAATTTTTTGGAAAAAAAGAGTTCTATTTCAAAGCAGAGACTGCACTGCCATCTCCGCAGTGTCCCAGACATTACCAGTGAGATGGACATTTAATTCTGGGCTGACCACTTGAGCTATGCACAGCAAATGTAAAAAAGCGAAGGCCTTTGGGAAAGAAAATCACTGAGGTCATGGACATGGTCACATCACATTGCATTTTATGTAGTGTTTTAGAAGCCCTTACCTACCTATAGAGACCCTCAGAATTCAGTGTGAGGTCTGAATAACTTCCAACATGTTATCATGATTCAGCACTTTCCATGGAAGCTCCCAGTTTGACAAAGGAGATGTCTCTGTCCAAAAAAGTGGAAAAAAAGGAAAGGTTCTGATGAGCTGTTACCCCCTATGGGTAAAGAGTTCCTGGGGTTTTTACATCCAAACCTATGTTTGAGCCATTGCTTAGTTAGTACCGGCTGTCCTGTTCACCTTTATTTCTACTGATTAGAAATGCTTTTGCTCATTTTAAGTATTCTGACTCTGTTTAAGAATCTGGGAGATGTCTTTGGTACAAAAAATGAAATATAAAGACAAGGCCACTTTAACGCAATTTTACATGCTCTACTACAGCAGCCTGCCACTATGAAAATGAGTGGGTTCTCAGATTTTAGCTGTTCTAATGCAACATGAAGCCAAGCAGTGCTGCCAAATGTCAAATCAGGTTTTTATATTGGCCATCAGCGACCTGAGCTAAGCTTCCTTTAGGTCGGAATTTCCTTTGTCACTGAAGCGTATGAGTCTGACAGTTGTGATAGATGCAATTATCTGTTCCAAGTATGTCAGTTACAAGTAACACTTCAGGTAGACATTGGGCAAGAACATACATGAATAATAGATGAATGCAGAAATGTCACCAAGCTATGAAGAGATGCTGGAAAAAACCACAGCGCTCAACTCAAGATCTCATCTTGAGTTAGATACATTTCAATAATCTGGAATGCTCAGATATTTGCATTTTCTCTCTGGAAAAAAAAAAAGTAGACAACCAGAATCATTTAGAAAAGATTATTAGAATGAAAGTTGTGCAGACTCCAACTCCTTCTAATACTGTTGGAGAAACAAGAGATTGTTTTAATATTTCAGTTGCTAGCAGATTATACTGCTAAGACCCCGATCCTGAAAAAATCATGCAGCTTTACACTAATGGGTATTCCTTTTGGATCTCAATAAATTGTTTGCATGTATAAGACTTCACAGAAAACAGCAGCTAAAAGACAACATATCATCTTTACTTGCTCAGCTACTAACCAGTTATTTATTCTTCTCTCAACTTGCTCTAAGAACAAATCGTGCCAAATAATAGCAAAGAAAATCAAAACAGGCGAACCTTTGAAAGAAGATATAGCTTTGACACATTATTTTTTTGTACACTTTTCCATCAGAAATTCTGAATGCTTCACAGCCAGTGTTATATGTGCACTATTGGTGTACCTGTGCGGAAAGGAAGCGTTATCTGCACCTTTCTAGGTGGGTGGCTGACAAAGAGGTGTTAAGGCTGGAATTTGTCTCCTTTTTTAGCTGCCTATTTCAGTATAAGCTGCCTAAGGCTCGAAAGTCTACTGGCTCTCTCTACAGTAAACAGAAAGAAAGATAAGTTGAGCAGGCAGTTCATCCCATCTCTGAGATACCTCTTCTGAGATTGCTCGGTTGACTCTTTCTAACAAGGCTTGGCTTAAACTAGACCCCCAGCTGTAGACGGTTAATGGTGGAGATTACCCTGCCCTAAGAAACTTTACCAAGATTATGTAGGAAAACCCAAGCTGAAGGTCTCTGCTTAAAGTCTCAGCCTATGCGATACCATAAGCAGCAAAAGTTTCAGAGGATGTGGGTGACTGGAACTACATTTCCATTCATTCCAGTAATAATTTGCCAGTTCACAACTGCTGATGCATTAATCACTGTTTGATCTATTTTCAATTAAATTGCCTGTCTCAAAATCCATATCCTAGTTTCTTATTCCACAATAACCGAAAGAGCAGATTGCCTATATGCCTTTGCTGTAGGAACCACCAGAGTCCTTTGCTGCCTGGTGTAGAATGGGATATGTACCTGTAGGAATGTGAAAATTTAATTTAATGGAGTCGTTGCCATTTTAGGGATCCAGGGCAATGGCAGTACCTTCCATATGTCCTTTCTCTTCCAATGGTCTATTGTAGTTGCAGCATTTGCTCTTTTGTTATGGTCTAAAGTTTGTGTCTGAAGTGGGATTTAGGATTGTGTTCTGCTCCATGGCGTGTGTCAGGGCCAGGAGCAGACTTCCCCAGAACAAACTACCAAATTGGTGCTTGTTGGTGGGACTAAATTCAATGACTCCGGCAGTCCATGTTATTATGGTGTGGGAATCCTGACATCCTAATGTCTTTAAATTGTGCTAAAAAAAAAAAAAAAAAAAAAAAATGCTACTGGATTTCAGAGCTTAGTAGAGTAAAAAAGAACTTGAAGTGGTTTTGAATGATAAAAATAACTGAAGTTACAGTAAGTAAAATAAGGGTTACTGTCGTTTGACAGATAAGCTAACTGCCAGTTGGGAGATGTGGCTCTAAAGGAGAAATTTCCAGAGTTCATGCCAAAATTATACAATGCAAAATGTACCATTACAGCCTCCTTGTACAAGGCTTCTCTTGGTTGCCTTTGAAGTGTGTGATATTAACTTCTTAGAGAAGAAATCAAAGGAAGCAATCATGCACTTAAAGCATACAGAAACCGTAAGTCATTGTAAGGACAAGTGATCAAAACCAATAGCTTAGAAATTACAACAGCCTGGACCAACAGAGGCGCCTGGGAACAAAGTGGAGCACAAGGACGTGCTTCTATGATCAGGCGAAGCAGACGTAGCATTACACCTGCACGGGTGCACCCACGGCACCGCAACAGGGACAGGAGCCCAGCAGACCTGCCAGCTTTGACGTGAAATCACCAGCACTTTATCACACATGCATGTAAGGTAGAGTCTTTGGAGAGGCTTTGTCATGGTAGACGCTAAGTGGCCATTATCCGGTGTCCTGGGAGTCTGAGAGGTCACCCACGTTCCTGCATGTTTTCACTGGGGGTGGAAGTGATTTCTTGGCAGCCTTTCCTAACCTGCCTTAGCTAACATAGTTAAAATAGCAGAAAAAAACAAAGTAACTCAGTGTGAACTTTGTTGAACCCTTTTTCATCTTAACTTTGATCGCCAGCTCCCAGTAAGCTCTCCTCCGAGCTCAGAACTACAGCTGGCCATGCTTTCATTAGTGTTTCAGCCCAAGGAACTAATTGGGGTTAACCAACCCAGTCTGCAAATTCACCTATTTTCCAGTGAAGACTTACCTTTCCTGGCAGCTCCTGATACCTTGGCAGGATCTTTCAGTCATGGATTTTACAGTGACTATTTCATGTCAACGTCTCTTGTCATTATCAAAAGCTGGCAGCTCATTTTACTTATTTGTAGAAGTAGTCCACTATTTTTCCATAATAAGACCAGAAAGGCCAGAGTGGATATTTAATGTCTTTTTTTCAAAAAAAAAAAGTGTATAAAAAATCATTTTTCTAAACACATTTGTTGCAGTTCAGATACCTGTGCAGGCACTCTTCAGTAAGGTTAGTGATACAACTGGATTAAGCATACATTGATTCTTCCTCACCTTGAATTATGCTGAATTTAAACTGTTTAAATTAACCTGGCTAATTCTGTCTGAATGACTCACCTGATTGTGGAGACTCCTTAGGGAATGGAGTCAATCACCGGGGGCTGATGATTTTGATGATGTACATGATGATGAGCCTTCCTCCCTGTAGCCAGGTTTGCTCCGAGACCTGATGGTGCCTAAGCTGCTGGAACTTCCCTGCCATCCCACTATGGTATTCCCCTTCTTTTATCGGCTGTGGCTTTTTGCCACTTAGTTTGGGTTTATCTTTCTGCCCTCTGATGGCAGTGGTACGTTCCCACTCCTCAGAACTGTCCAAAAGTTTTAGTGGATTCTCAGGTGGGAAAAGGTTCCCAACTGAGTGAGAGAAATGTGGAGGAACATCAGTCAGTCGAGACACAGTACATCTCCGTGCAGGAGGCTCATTGCCCATGACAGAAGTCCTCTCTTTTTTGCTTTTTCCCTAGCATTTGGCCATCCTGTGAGCCTGTTTCTTGGGCGTCAACAATTTGTAGTGAGCGTGGCAGCTGCCAGTTCTCCCAGATCAGTTCTCTCTTATCAGTTCTCCCAGATCGAGGAACAAAGTTCTGAATGAGCAGCACTGACTTTTCAGAAAGCAATTCCTTATCGTGGGCAGGAGATGACTCAGTTACTGTAGCCACAGCCTCTTCTGTCATTAGGGAGCAGCTTAAGCAATAATTCTGCTGTTCTGCAGTTAGATCAGGGGGAAAGATTTCCTTGGTTAGGTGAAGGTACTGCTAAAGTGTTTCAAAATCGTATGTCAGATATGTTTAAGTTGTGGCATACATTTTTTTGCCCCTTTTACAGCATTTGTTAATTTTCTTTGAACTTTATTTTTAGAAAGGCAAATCAGTGAAAGACGTATCCTAAATGCATATATCATTAGACAGACATCGTATAGATTAATTCTCTTAGACTCAGTTATGTTAGCAGTGTTAGGTTGACTTGGTGATCTTAAAGGTCCCTTCCAACCTAGACAATTCTGATTGTATGATTCTATGTATATGAGGTCTACTATAACATATTTTAAATGTTTTTTGACATTAATAAATTACAGTTAATTTAAGTCTCTCACCCATTGAGTCAAAAAAAAAGTCCTATTAGCTCTTCATCTACTTTATAGTGTATTTGTCCGTTCAGTGAAGAGGTACAAAAAAACCCCATTCACTCACTTACAAAACGTCAATGTGGCAAATTCTTCTTCAACTGCTTTTTATCTAGATTTCCTCCTGGGAGATCTGAAACACCAGAAAGCCATCAGGTAACCCTCCCAGGGTCAAATACGTACTTTATAGCTAATGGGCCAGAGCTGCAGCTGCTGCTGTCACCATGGGATTCCCATGGAGCTCAACAGGAGCAGTCCCGAGTGCGAAGCAGCTGCAGATTTGGGCTCGGAGCCAGTACTGGGACCCGAGACCCATGCCGTGAGCACAGCAGAATAACCTTGCTGCGCTGAGGTAGCAGATTGCGCAGAGAGCTGCATCCCATTAGAGTGGCAGCGCTGTTTGGATATGTCTAGGAACAATTTTTGCAGAAATATTTGGCAAGATTTCCAGTTTATCTTTGAAAGTCCTGTTTTTTAAGTTGCTCACTAAACACAAGACCGACACTTAGAAACCTTGTTAAACTGCCACTACCTGCAATCCTTTTAAGCCCAGATCATGAAACACTGTGTGATCACACACACAAATACACTGATTTTACAAGATCTGTTTCTGTAGTTTAGCAGAAGGGGGTAAAGTATTTCCATTCTGGTCCCTAGGGCTATGACTTCCAAAGAATATTCTTCTTTACTATGCTTTCAGGTCTAAAGCGGTCAACTCCCGGTTATACACATAAATTTTTTTCAGCAAGCAAGTCTCTGTAAAGTAACCATGCAACCAAATACTTCTCTAAATGTTTGCATTTTGTGGCAGTATCATCTGTGAGTTGTCTTGCATCTGCATTGACTTTAATCTGCGTTGTCCTGGCCCCTTTCAAAGCAAGCAAGGCACAAACCTGTGCTGAAAGGAGGACCAGGAAAACTATAGTGGGATCCAGAATGGAGCAGGTTTTTGTCAGCTTGTCCTCTCTTCCTCAAGCCATGATCTCCTCCTCCTCAGCAAGCCTTTCCATATGAATTCAATGTCGTCAGGACTTTCGATGTTTGGGAGGCTGATCGATCCAAGGAGTTTGCTCGATACATTAAGTGTTCAGAAGAACAGGCTAATCGGTGGCTGAGCAGACTTTGGAGCATGTAAAGTGCTAGAGGGCCCCTGCAGTCCACTCATCTTTAAATGGAGGAAATCTTTTCTCTGTGAAAAACTCCCAGTTCTCTTACACAATGTTCCCAGAGAAGAAAACAGACCACCTTGAGATGGGAAGACAACTCACTAGTTAAACAAGATGTTTAATTAAAGCCATTAGGGAACTTCAGCAAAAGGGAAACATGAAGACCTTGAACATTTACAGTGAAAACCAGAATTTAAGAAAGTCGTTTTCACTCAGCCTGAGAACCATACTGAAAATGCACGATTAAGAAAAAAGCAAGTAGCTGAAAATTGGGAGAGCAATGTCTGCTGAACTGCAGTCACGGAAACACAAGACGACATTCTTTAAATAATATATTGCCGTTAGACTGAGGGTACATGTACCCTGTTTCTACTTCCAGATCTCTGTTTGGAGACGTAGTGAAATTCTGGTAATTTAATTCCCCAACCAAGTCCCCACACTGCAATGAAGCCAAAAATCAATGCTTTCACAATTATTATTATTTCATAATCCCCAGGAGTTCTGGAAATTTTAGTGCGCACAGCT